TTAGTAAAAGTCGAATCAGGTTTTCTACAGGTATAGAAGATTGGACGTGCATTTTAAAGCGTTTCCATACATCAATTTATTATTCTTATATGCAGTTTTAAAACTGTTTTTTTCTTTTACGTCGTGTATTATTTGTTTAGAATGTTCCAATCGACTTTTTATTTACGTAAGATTTATAGTTGATATTTTATTTTCTTGAAAACAAGAACGATGATTTCGCAGATGATAAACTATTATTAAGAAATCTAAATATATTTCTTTGCTATACATGTTTTCATGTTTCAAAATCGTTTTAGACACTCAAATGTTAAAAATAGTTGCACGAAATAATTAATTATTATATAACTGCAACTATTGAAGTTATGTCATATTTATTTTTACTCCTCACGTTTTTCTATGATATTTCTCTGTACTTATTATATTGTTTAGATCGCCGTAAAACATTTTAAAGCTAGTGATGTTTGCAATTTGAATGAATCATTATTTTATTCCACATTCTTCTGGATAACTGGACGATAATACACAACACGAATGTGCTTCTCATTTAATTATTCATTATCCACGCTACTCTCATAAAGACATTTCCAAATAATGATATTGTTCAAATCTTATAATTTATAATAGTCTAAGATCCGACTGCAAAGTCACTACGTTCATAACGTAGTTAAGCAAACTCCCATTTGTATATTTACTAAGAATAGGAGAATACAGTCAAAAATCGGAAGCAAATATTTTTAATTAATGGTAATTTATTTTTAAATGGCAAACATTTTATGTATTTTTTAAATAAAATACGCTCTTCATGATGTATATACATGTTCTTTTTTATATTAAATTAAAGATATTTTTTTATTATGATGATATATGGTTGTCTGATAAAAAAAAATGGTCTCAAATTTGGGTTACCCGTTGTTAAAAATTCGAAGTATCAAAGATAAACTAAAATAGCGCGCAACAACACTGGCTTCACAACTGATAATATGTATATTATTAACAACATCTATCGACGTATGCTTTAAAAAGTATGCATCTGTACTCGTTTCGCGCTAGCTCTCTTTTACTTTATCTTTGATACCTCTCGTTTTCATGCAACTTTATATTATCATATTAAAAAAAAACTAGCTTTAATTTGATATAAAAAACATGCATATACGTCATGAGCAGCATATACAATCATGAACAAAATTTTTGTTCAAAAATGAATTACCATTAATTGAATTAAAACTATTTGCGGCCACTTTTTGAGAGGCAAACTGTTATCAATGTATTCTGCTATTCTTAAATGTATGTAAAAATTTGAGTTTAATTAATTACTTTGCAGTGATCTTACATAGGGATCTCGTACCATAATATATTAAGTGACAGAAAAAAGAACATCCAGTAATAGTGAATTAATTACAACTAATTCCTAGGAATATGTTTGTTTAAGTTTGGACAAAATCAGTTTTTCAACCATACCTCGACTAAGCAATATCCTCTGTTCTTACAAAAAAAGTATATAAGCAATAGTTGGGTTTTGTAGCTACAATTAGTAGTTTATTATCGTAAACTACGTTGTGAAAAGCTACTTTAATCTGATCATTATGTATGAGTAAGAAGACGAGCAAATTTTCAACAGCTTAGTGCATTTGATAGGGAGCTTGCGTAAAGCCGATTTGTCCTTTATAGAGGTTGCGCAGAAGTATCAGTAAAGTGGTGGTTTTTTGTGGGACATGGAATTAGGAAGGCCATACACAAAGAGCTTGAAGAGATTGAAGTGGTACGAGCTTATAAAAAGAACCAGCGATAGATATGGATAAGAAAATAACATAAAGGACAACCTCAGATATAAGAGAGGTCGTCCTAGATCCTAGAAAAACCTAGCAAAAGAAAACAATTTAAAATGGGATATGAGAGATGGCAAACGAAATATATCATTCATTTTTTTTCATATTCTGATTTACCCTAACTACTTTGAGCTGAATATTATATTATGAGGCATGTCTAAATATTTGCTCTTTTTGAGTTTCATATATATGTATATGTGAGAAGCTTTTAAGTAATTATTTTTTTACATTTAAATTTAACAGCCTGACAGTTATGAACTTGTTTAAAACATACTTATATATTCAATACAAAATATTTGCCGTTAAAACTGCTTTTTCTGGACATATCAGAATATTTTGGGTAACATTAAAAAAAATAAACTTCAACCATTCCCTATTTTCCTTTTCCTGTACAGAGACTACCAGGAATAGTTTTCAATACCTACTGAAATCCTTTTATAGAGCTTCACTGTATCTCAATAGGATCAGTTAGTCTAGTATTTTTTTATTTTTCCATTTCCATGATGCTAGTTATCAATACTGAAATCCTTTTATAGAGCTTCAGTGTACTTCAATACGATCTGCTAGTTTAGTATATTTTTCTTTTATCCGTTCCGATGGTGATAGTTATCGCCGTACGTCAGACTAAACCATACATTTTAAATATAGGTATATGTCGTTTTACTTTATGATCTATATCGTGTTTTGAACAGAAAGTGTGTGCAGTTTGCTTTACAACGTAAACTCTTTTGTTTAGTAAATGGTTTTAATCCATTTAGTATTTTTATATGCGATCACTTCCAAATGAATATGACACAAATTTTGAATTAACTAAGATAATAGGACAACAAATATGTGGTAAATACATAAAATTACAGAACTTAGGCGTTTGACCTGGTGAAACATGATAAACTAATAGATATTTTAAGATAATGTAATATCGACGATAAAGACTTAAGGATCATTTCAAACCTCTACCAAGAACAAAAGGCTAAAATCAGAATAAAAAGCGAAACATCTGGAAAAATCAATATCGAGAAGGGAGTAAGACAGGGATGTGTCCTATCACCTTTGCTGTTCAATGTTTACTCTGAGAAGATATTTCAGAAAGCTTTGGAAGGCACCTCGGATGGTATAATTATAAACGGGCAATGTATAAATAACCTGCGATATGCTGATGACACTGTCATACTGGCAAATAATGCTGAAGCCCTGCAACGCTTAATGGACCGAGTAACGACAGCCTGTACAGAATTTGGAATGAAATTGAATACAAAAAAGACAAAAACGATGGTCATCAGCAAGCACCAAAACAGAGGGATGAAGGTCAATGTCGACGGAACAGATCTGGAAAGAGTAACAAGAACAACGTACCTTGGAAGTAATCTTGATGAAACTTGGGACCACTCACTAGAGATAAGAATACGCCTGGAAAATGCACGTACAATGTTTTACAAAATGCAAAAAGTTCTATGCAACCGCCAGCTGGGCATCTCATTGAGAACTAGAATACTTAAGTGCTATGTTTTCTCCAGCTTGCTCTATGGTGTTGAAGCCTGGACAATGACAGAAGCAACATAAAAAAGAATCCAAGCATTCGAACTCTGGTGTTACCTTAAAATGCTCAGAATATCCTACATGAGCCATACGACAAATGCGGAAGTCTTGCGGAGGATGAATAAGGAAAGAGAGCTTATGCTTATAATAAAAAAACGGAAAACACAGTATTTTGGTCACATCATAAGAAATCAAAAGTATGAACTGCTCCAACTTATAATCGAAGGCAAAGTCGATAGCAAAAGAGGACCAGGAAGAAGACGCAACTCTTGGCTTAAAAACCTACGGCAATGGACGAACATGACCTCCATAGAACTATTCAGGGCTGCTACAAATAAGATTAAATGGGCAAATGTAGTGGCCAACGTCCTTAAGGATAAGGCACCGTAAGAAGAAGAAGAAAGAACTTACATAGAAACTAAGATTGGTTGATACCATTGTTCATAACCATGGTCACCACAACACCACAATCTACTAGCACAAAATATTTGTTATTCGGTTACAAAAAAAAAAACTCGCCTGAAAGAACTATATTATCAAAAACGCAAACAAATCGATATGAAAATAAGAGTTGTTTGTGTTAGCTGATAAAAAGAAAATTTCGCCTATCTCCAGAAAATAAAGTGTTAATTTACAAAACAATTAGGTCTATTTGTTTATAATACGAGGTAAAGCTTTGGAACAAGCAAAACTCATTCAATAATCCAAAAAAATCAGTGAAAAATGTTTTCTTATAACAACTGAGGACCATGTAACTACCCAATCAAACATTTAATTCACGTTGAAGATATCGTGAAAGAAAGAAGTGTCAAACATCATGACACTACCGTTCCATCTAAATGCCCTATTACTAGAACAACAAGATAGAAGAATGAAAAGACATTGGCCAGCAGACTTAAGGGAAGAGTAAGTAAGAAGTTTCATTGAAAAGGCAACTCAATAAATACTACTAAATGAATAAACAACTTCCTTTCAAATCAGTACATTAGTTTATAAATAGTACATTGTTTACCGGGTAGGAAAAGCTTAACATTCCTGGACGACTGTGAAGATTGCTAAGTCGAGGCCCAAGCCGAGACTTAGCAACACAGAGTCCAGGAATGTGGCTTTTCCTACGAGGTAAATATACTATTTTTCCGCAAATCGTTTAAAATTCGACAGATATTGATTGATTTAAAAAAAACGCGATAATTTTATTCCCAAATAAATGGTGCTTTGAAATTCCTAATAAAATTACTTGGATTACTATGGAAACGTATTGAGGTTGAATTGTCAAACTTGACGCTTATAAATTTAATTGCTGGTTAGCACTAACAACTGTACGGAAATATCATTTCCTTACAGTAAGGAAATGACATTTCCTTACAGTAAGGAAATGACATTTCCTTACAGTAAGGAAGTCCTGACTTTTTCTTCAAGAAATTTTGACAGGAATGTCAAAATTTCCTGGCGATTTGCGGAAAATTATGTTAATTTTAATTCCTAATCCAGATATCATTTAAAACGGTAAAAATCTAAAATACTAAAACAACAATTTTTTAAAGAATATTTGTATTGTAATTAAAGAAAAAATTATTAATAAACTCTTATAGGTACTAGTTTGATAGAACCACATTCTTAATAAAAATAATTACTTACCAATTAGATTATTCGCAGTAACGATGATACAGCATAAAAACAATATGGCAGAGGTGACTCTATAGTGGGCTCTAAACACCATATTGTCAATTAGAGCTTTATCAACCAAGTAGCGGACTTTGACAAAGCCCGCTACGGCTGATACCATTCCTAATACGGACATCTTGTGTTAGTAAGTAGTGGTGCCTGGAAAAAAGAAAGCAATTGTTATCAAAAACTATAATAATTGTCAGGTTCTTCAAAGGAAATTCGTCAAAGGACTAATATTCTAAAGTAAATTAAACTGTATACGATTTGGTTATGTATTAAATCTCGTTTTATGAAACTATCCGTATCAATTTTCAAACAAAATCTCTCTCTTCGTCAAATTTGCGCATGTAATCTATATTCCGGTTTTTTAAGCGTGCACGCTCGTCTGGTTAGGGATGTGCGGAGTAAGTTACACCGAGCCGCAAGCCCCCATCCATAGGTCGATTCGATACACTAGATCATTCACAGTGAAGTGAATGTGATTCGTCAGCCTGGTCCACTTGTTATCTGTCTCATGTAATCCCGAAGAATGCAAGTCAGAAGAAAACGATATAATGCAGTTTCAATACCGATAATAAAATACGCATGCCATAACTGGAAAATTAGGAAGAACATTAAAAGTAAAAGTAAATCAATCTAGAAAAAGCATTTAATTAAGACACCAGGATTAGAATAAAATACGAAAACAATTGGAATAAAAAAAACAAAGACCGATAATGAAAAAGAAGACAATATCAACTATACTGGTACTATAATATGTATTATATACCGTGGAAGAATTAATACATCAAATAAACATCAAAGGAAAAAAATTAGTCTAAGTAAAATTAATGGCAAACGATAAAAAATAGAATTGGCTAAAAGAGGGATCGGTAGCACAATCCGATAACTGAAAACGCATACGGAAATTAGAAGAGTGTGAAGTGAAGAATAAGTTAGTAAGCGAACATACAAACGAATTGAAAAGAAATAATTATTCAGAATTTCAAGCCCTTCTGTATATAATCATTTTTAATCGAGAACTAAAAAAATTCAGCTTTGATTTAATAAGTCATAAATTGTTCTTAAATCCTCCCCTTGTTAGATTAGGTATATAATTTATGTGGTACAATATGTGCCAATAGCTTTAAAAAGTGCACATTTAGTAACAAACATTTCATGCGAATTACACAATTTCTTGATTGACACGTTTTTTATATTAACTCATGAATGCGCGAAACAAACATTTCCTATCGCACGTTTTAAATTAGTTTCGTGTCTACACTTTACATCTTATATTTTTACACCTGCGACAAGGCTCAATTGCTGCTTAAACCCATATAAACATATTTAAAAAGATTATGGATTCGACTTTACTTAAGAAAGCAGGCAATTTTAGATAGTCTAGAAGTAAGTCTTAATAAGTAATAACTTGGTTAAAACTTTTTAAGAATTTCAAATAAAGATTGCATCGAAAAAAAAAACATTCACTGGTTTACCACTGGCTTCCGAATTTTTTGTACGCTTCATCACTTGAAATTTCAAATTTCCCTTTACGGCCAAACTGCCCATCCGTATTTTTTGCCTGGTTATCTTTATATATTCCGATTTCCGAATTCCACAACTCATGGCGTAAACTTATTTCGTTATCGTATAGTAAATTTATATTGTAAATAATTAATCATTTTATTCCTCCAAAATTTTCCAAAACAACAACCAAAGCAAAGTAAATATAGCAAGTATTTTCGCTCACCAAGCAATTATCCTACAACAATTGTAAAATCTGTAATTGCTCAGTTAGACTGTTATTATTGGCAATATTGCTAGCTACTGTATTGAGCCACATATTGCAGTCAAAATATTGCTCGTTTAGAGGTACCTTAAGAACATGTGCTAAAAAAATAACGAAATCAGAGAACCAATCATTACCATCTAGATGGCTCAGCGGACTGACAAACATACTTCGAAGTAGATAATTTTCTAGCAGGGAAGACAACTTTACGTAATAACAAGGCAATTACTCAACACACACTACATACACAATGTGCAATAAACCAAATGGTTGCAGCAAAATAAAATAATTAACAGTCCTGCAGTCCTGTATAAAGACCTTTTTAGTTTTCTGTGCATTACTCGAGTCGTAAGCTAGCCAGACAAATGTTTCAATCGTAACTGTATAAAATCCCAAATGGATTTGCACCTTTAAATTGGATTTTGCGAATAAATGAAATCGGCCGATGGATGAATAATAAACAAGTAATGCTTGAACAGAACACATCAAAAGCTACAGATGAAGCTAAGGCCTAGAGACTGTCAAGGTTATAATTTTAGTCTTTTAAACAAAATTAATAAACTTACTATGATGACGTCTCAAAAGGATCAGATTAATCGTGAACAAATAAATTACACCAAAATGTTTAAGCAGATTAAAACTAATTTATTTGTATTGAACTGGGTACTGGGAATATGGCTTAGCTTGTAGGTTTCTAAGATTACAGGTACAGTAGAAAAATAATAGATCTTCAGGAATTTTTATAACATGAACACCTTTTTCAGAAATCTAGGTAAAATTATAATACTGCAAATACCTGTTCAATGGAAATATTCCATAAACATAGACAGGTATATATTTAGTCAGGTAAAACAAATTTAGGTGACCTTAGGTTGGAATATGAAAGTTATCATAAAATTAATAAAAGGTTAAATATTTCAAAATCAGATGTTTATGTAAAAACGAGATAGGGGTGTAAATCTATTTGTTTTTAAAGGTGTGTCGATAACAAACAAGTAACTTACACACTCTAGATGAGTAAACACACAAATAAACAGTTTCAAAACTTAATTATTGACGTTACAAATTTATCAGGCAATCACACGTCTGGAAGAATATCAAAACTTAATATATTTTTATTAGGTGAAGGTATTTTTTTATCAATGCTATAATGATAAAATAAAACATATTATATACGTTTATTATGTTAAGTAAGTTTTATTATAACGGACATATTTAGAATTGTTAGATTATATCAATTGTTATAAACAAGGTATACAATAATTGTATTTTAGGAAAAACTATTATTGTTCTGAAGCTATTTTCTTGTGGCATCTTAAAGTAATTACTATTTTAATAGGAATAAACCACAATTGAAGTTTAAAATAAGTTTACTGACGTTTCAATTTCCACTTTGGACATCGTTCTCAAAATACAAACATTAAAAAATTAAACAAATTTTGTTTTTTTGTTATTTGGTGAAAAATTCTTCTAATAAAATCTAGTATTAGAAAAAAATTTTTTTTAGATTTTGTTAAATAAAAAATTAAGCACAAGGTTTGCGACTGGCGCATATCGTGTTTATTTATAAAAGGTATATCCTGACGTTATTCCATCAGAAAAATAGACATCTATTGAAAAATGTCCAATTCAAAACCGATCCCGCCTAGACTAGATAGAAAATTAAATAGTGTAATCTCCAAAACCTGAATAGATATTTCTATAGCTCAGTTTTGCAAGTACTCTGTTTTCAAAAATCCTTAATACGTCAAACCCTATCTTCTCCATTCATTTGAATTCTTATTTTATATTTAATAATCAACTACGTTTTTTCTTGTTTTGAATTTTAGAATCATATGATTCGTAATTTATATTTAACTTTCGTTAGAAACGTCGTCTCACTGCGTAGATCATAACATGATTAATTACCGCTTTGCGTCTCTTAAGTTTGTTTTTTAGTGCAGGTTTAATCATTTTTGTCTCTAGAAAGATTTCATGAAAATATATAAACAGTAGATTTAAGAGACAATTCATTTGGATTGCGTATTAGGCTCGGTACGACAGCTTTCAGATTCCTCGACAAAGTTGTTGAACTTAACGCAAAGACTACAAAAAAGAATTTGAAGTAAATGAAATTACATAAAAAACTGAACAATGAAAATCAAAAATTGAAAGGAACAGATTGGTAAACTGTCGTATATATTGAACAACAAAAAATACTTCCAGCAACTTAAAAACGACGGCTTTTATCAACGTGTACTATCTTCTTACGTACAATTGTCACATTTGAACATTTAGCAAGGATAATTTCCAAAACAAAAAGGCGAAACGCAAAGATCTATGGAAAGAGAGGTGCTAAACATTGGACTGTCAGATAGGCAAAGAAACAGCTGGATTCGTAGTAGAACCAAAGTAAAAGACGCCTTGACTCAAGTAGTAAAACTTAAATGGACATATGCTGGGTATACCCTAAGACAGAAGGATGGCCAATGGAACGAAGTAATTTAGCAGAAGACAGTAATTACTGCGGACAGTGCTAAGAGCTTGCAACGACTTTTGAATGCAATAACTAGGATTTAGGATTAGAAATAAATACAAATAAAGCAAAAGTGATACCCATATGGTAAATCACTACATTAAAATTCATATCTACAACAAACAAATAGAACCCGTACACAGATTACAATATCTTGGTTACTTGATTACAAATGAAAGATAAAAACCGCATGAAATAACTCATTACAAATTATCACATCTCATCACTGGATGTTAGATACCAATTTTTTTTAAAACATACTATTCAGAATGGAAAAATAGATTTTTGAAATTAAAAGTGTGAAGCAGATAGAAGCCAGTGAAATTTGGGTTTCCCGAAGGATGCTGAAGATCTACTTGATGGAGGACGTGACCAGTAATAAAATTCTAAGAAGGATGAGAACTGACAGAGAAATTAGAGAGAAAAATACCGAAAGAGTAAATTATAAATTAAGTAAATAGAGGAGAAAAACATCAATTTCCTACGATTATAGTGGAAGGGACGGTTGAAAGAAGATGGCTACAGGGAGAAAAAATGCTCACGATTGAGAGTAAGAGAATAGATAATACACATTCCTTTTAAGAACAGTACAAAGTAGAAAGCATTCTACTAAAATTATCGACAACCTTCAGTAATGGAGAATGCACCTTAAAAAAACGTAAATCTATCATGTTTGTAGTACATCCCAATCCAGGTGTAATGAGGTATATGCCTGATCTCCATTTGGGTGCCGGTACCATAGCAGTAACAATTTATAAAAAATATTACTGATATCCGATACAAAAACTTTTTAAAAATACTAAGTAATACTTATTTTTATTTTGGGCATTACCCCCTAATGCATTTTTCTATTGTTCTTATTCCTAACCT